GAGAGAGAGAGAGGATGTGTAGAAAGAAGTGGTGGGTGGTCAGTTTCTTTGTTCAGCATTTCCCTGGTCTTTCTAGGAAATTCCAGCTTAGCTTGAGTAATGATTATTTCTTTCAAGTTCTTCATGTCTCTGAGAAATAATTTCTTTTATTGTATTCTTCCTAAGAAAAAAAGTCACAGAAGTCCTCTCTGTAGTTTGCAAATTATGGAAGACTGTAGTTTGCAAATTACAGAAGAATGGCAGAAGGGTTACATTTTCAGCTGGGTACACAAACAGCTTTAAAGGGATTTTCTGGAACATCAGATACTCTTCAATATCAGTCATCCGTTTTTCCCACTGTCTGCTCTGTGAACCAGCAGCATTCATGGCGGTCTCTGTTTCCCAGGTCTTGGATTTGCACTTTGTTACTCTCCGGCAATTGCTATGGTGGGCAAGTATTTCAGCCGACGGAAAGCCCTGGCTTACGGGATTGCCATGTCTGGCAGTGGCATTGGTACCTTCATCCTGGCTCCTGTCGTTCAGCTCCTCATTGAACAGTTTTCCTGGCGAGGAGCACTGCTCATTCTTGGCGGGTTCGTTTTGAATCTCTGCGTCTGTGGCGCTCTGATGCGTCCCATTACCCTTAAAGAGGACCGGTCAGTCCCAGAGAAGAATCACCACTGTGAATCTCAGAGAGGAGACTGTAAGCAGGCGTCTTCCTATTCACCTTTGACCAAAGAATGGACAGAGACCCGTCTTTGCTGCTCTTTGCAGCAGGAATACGGTTTTTTGCTGATGTCAGACTTTGTCGTGTTGGCTGTGTCTGTTTTGTTCATGGCCTACGGCTGCAGCCCTCTCTTTGTGTACCTGGTGCCTTACGCTTTGAGTGTTGGAGTCAGCCACCATCAAGCTGCTTTCCTCATGTCCATCCTCGGGGTGATTGATATCGTTGGCAACATCACATTTGGCTGGCTAACTGACAGAAGGTAAAATACGTGAAAAACGCAACTAGTTTCTCCTAGGGGTCTTGAAGCACCAAGTTTTTTCTGACTTCACCTTGTCACGTACCTGCCTTTGGAGGGTAATTTTGATATCTAAAGGTAGCTTTTCTTGCTGATTCTTATAGATCAGGTGATGGCAAACTTTTTATGTATGGGGACATATAGAGCAAACATTGTTTGGCTTTGTAGAAGATATATTTTTTGTCATAACTCTATAGGACTGCCACCAACACAAGAGCAGCTGTGTTCTGATAAGTATCAATGCGCACTGAAATGTCTGTTTCTATATTTCACCAAACGTTAGGGTTTTTTTTTGTTGTTGCTGTTTGGTTGGGTTTTTTTTCTGTTTACAACCACTTAAAATGAAACAAACAAACCAGGTATGTGACCCTAATTTGTCCACTCTTGTTCTAGATAGTCTAGGTTGTGTGTCTGTCTGAATTGCACAGAGCGAAGTCACCTAAAAGTCGTAATGACAAATTTGATTCCAGCCCCAGGCAAGTTAGTCCTCCACTGAGACAAATGCTGACTGGCTGCTGTTTTCTTAACACGTATTGGATTGTCCCAGGGATTAACTAGTAGCAGAAAGAGGACCTCACCCGGTCCCCTGGTAGGAGGGTCAGGTACAATGACACACAGCGTCATTAGTCACACACTTAGATTTCAGTGTGGGGTTAGAATACTTTCATGATATTGTAAGCTTAGAGACTGAATTTATAGGCACTCTACAGCAAATAATTAATTACCTGTTTGGATTGAAGACTTCTAATGGTGCCTTAGGTGAGGAATTACTTTATTTGAGTCATGAGCTAAGAGAGCTATCATCTAATGGCATTTCACAAGTTACTTTAGCCGTTAATTGGGACCCGATTGTGACTGTCTAGCATAATTAATGTAATATTTAAAACTGATTCCACTTGTTTTCTTTTGTGCTTGGCTGGTGATAAAAGCAGCAACTCCCGTGCTGGACAAGTTCACTGAGCCACGCCCGAGCACTTTCCACATTTTAAATTAAAGACAAAGGAAGGAGGAAGGGTGGGGCGATGTCCACTGCACACTGATGACTCAGGGAGAAGCAACTTGTAAGCCGAAGGAGGTGTGGCTAGGCACAAGACCGAAATTCTTGTGCCAGTTCTGCTCCTTGTTAAAATCACCCGTTGCTGAGAGTCTCGAGGGCTTCCATCTGTCAAACAGGTCAGTGCACTAGCTCGAGGGTGATAAGAGGACGCAGTCGCAAGTCGACAGAGCTGACATTCTAGTCTTTCAAATAATCGGTATCATACATGGGAAT